CACAAATATGCAAATAATCATAAAATCATATGAGTAGAAGACTCATTTAATAAATATCCATATTAAAAGTGTTCTATATTACTATGTTTATATCATTTAAATTAAATTATATATCATATACAATATATAAGATTGATTATTTTGATTTATTTACCCTAATTGCGAATAAACAAGAGTGATAGTTAATTTTATATGCATACGCCAATTTATAACATAATAGTAACTGATTTCTTAGTTATGTAATATATATATTTATTATTTTATTATTTTATAATATGCAGAAAATATAAAATAAATATAAAATATAAAATACTTATTGTGCATAAAGTGCATATCTTAATCTAAGTATGTATCTCTTTAATTATTTTTAATCTTACGTATTTTCTAAATCCCAGTTCAATACAAACTTCAAAATAAATATTTATACCGAGGAATAACCAAAATAAAATAAAAACACAACAAGAGAAAAAGTTGAAAATAAATAGGATTGACACGTGAACTTAAACTTCTCATAACTATAATTAATTTTTAAATTGTTAAATCATGATATAAAATGAGTTAATTTTTAATTTGTTAATTTTTTAATTTTAAATTATTATAGTTATGTTAAATCATTACCATAATTAATTTTAAATTTTTTATTTGTATTTGAAAAACTGAAAATATTATTTTAAAAAATAATTTAAAATATAAGTTAATGTTTTTATAAAATTAGTTAAAAAAATAATTTGTAAAAAGGTATAATTTTCTAATATTATTAGACAAATAAATAAACTATATTAAATTAGTTTTGAAACTATATATTTTAAATGAAAATATTTTACCAACTGCCTCTTAAGAAAGCATTAGGGAACTTGCTAATACTCCACCAGTCAAGCGCAGTGACATTCCGTTTATTAAATTCTAAGGTTTGATCTATAGTTCTAATTACAATTGCCTATGATCCTATGTATAGATAATCATCGTAACATGTTCATCGTAAAGCCTTTTTCCTCGTAATTTCCTAATAAAATTACGAGGAAACGTTTCCTCGTAAAAGCGTGGATACTCATTTCCTAGTAAAGTCCTCGTACAGCTTTCCTCGTAAAGGCCTCGAAAATATGTCCTCGTAAAGTCGTAATAAAACATTTCCTCGTAAGAGAGTCGTAATGCTTTACTAGGAATTTACTTCAAAATGTTTTCTCTATTAAAAAATAATAAATAAAATAAATATAAATAATATATTTTACAAAAATTAAAATAAAAATTATAAAAGAAAAGAAATAACAAAATAATTTATAAATCATTAAATATTTAAGTTTTAAATTCATAATATATACAATTAAAAAGAAAAAAACTAAACTACGGATGGTGCTCGTTAAACTGACGAACGAAGTCGTCATCCCAGCTCGCCAACTCCTCCTCGTCCATGTTGGTCGTCGGTTGTGACTTTGATAGTGGATGTTGTTGGGTTGGAAGGCCTCCGTTTTCCCGTCTGACACTCAACATCTCCGCCAATTGCGAGTTTCCAACCGCCAGAACGTCCAGGATATCGGAAAGAGAACTCACGTGAGCTTGCGTCGCATGCAACTCTGAGCGCAGCTGAGTAGTGACATCGTGCTGTTCCTGAGCATACGACGATGTCGCTGTGGGGACATCGTTAACGGAACCAATCCCGATGATACGCCCATTTTTCATAGGGGAGACCTTTAAATAAAAAGATTAATAACGTTAAAAAATAAATTAAATAAGTAATAAAAATTAATAAGAAAACAAATTATTTACCTCCTCGTAAATCTTATCCACTTCAGGAGTGGATAATATGACGGGTGTCCCAGACTGCTGAGTCAGCTGGGTCTGGCGGTGGTCAACCCGAGCAACAACCTCGTCGTAGATCCGCTCGGATCTAGGATCTACAAAATGCCCAGCCTTGTTCCGGTGGGTCCTCTCGTAAAAGTCTTTCAGAGATGGAAGAACTCTTGTCTCTTTAGCCTAAAAATAATTTTTAAATTTAAATATTAATTAGGAATATACATATAGATTAAAAAATATTAATTAGTTATTAAAATATTAATTTACCATGTCTAGACAGATTTCCGCGTGAGGTTTTCGACCCCCGTTGTGAAGCATCTTCGTGTTGCCATGCTCGTCTCTTGTCATGCAGTTCTCAGATTTTGTGTGGGAGGTTTTGATCGAGTCCGGAAACCCCCAATATCTGATGAGACCATCCCACACCGCAAATGTGAGGCAATCGGGTTTCCCCTCCTCAAAACCATCTATCTGAAAAAAAAAATATTTTTAAAATTATTTGAAGGCAATTATATAAACTATATAAAATTTCTAAATCCACCTGAAAATCGCCCTTCCAGTTGTAGACCATGTCAAGCAATCGCGCTTTTTCCTTCGCCTCACTCATTCTTCACCCGCTGGTGAATCCCTATGGACCAACGATACTTTTGTTGTAACCAAAAAATTTAGATTAATTAGTCCAATAATACTAAAAATTTTAAATAATTAAAAAATGAATTAAGTTTATTAATGACTTACGAAGAACGATTTGAACCACGTCTTTTTGGTGTGGCTGGCCTTCTTTTTCCAGTTTGGAGCTGGATCGGGAAAGTATCCCTTGATACAAACGGTGACGCTCTGAGCGACACACCCGTCAACATTAAATCTGAACCAAAAAAAAATATTAATTAATTTTTTGAATTTTTAGTTAATTAAGAAATAAATTATTTTTTTTTTAAAAAATGAAACATATACCAAAATATGTTGTGGCCGTCCCGTCGGAGAGAATCTAACTCAGGTAACCCTTCTCTGTCTGGTGCTGCCATAATATCCTCGACAGTGTACACCGCAAATGGAGCGTTTCGCAAAACCTCCAAATCGGGATGAACCCCGGTGGCAGGTGGAGGAGGAGGAGAAGGAGGTGGTGGATCAAACCGGAGAAACTCTCTGAGAAAACCGTGACTCTTGGACAGCGTCATCCGGAATCGAAGAACCGGGAGCCGAAGAAGATGACGCGCCTGTATGAGGACCAGGCTGACGACCAAATAATTATCCGTAATGACTCCCGTTAGGAGGAGGCTGCATCTTCTTAGCGTTAAGCTTGCTCTGTCTAGGCATCTAAATTTTAAAAATAAAAAGAAAACATACATATACTAATATCATTTAAAAACACATTTAATCACCTAATCTAAATTCCCTAAACTAACCACATAATCTGAATTCCCTAAACTAACCACCTAATCTAAATTCCCTAATCTAATCACTTAATTAGGAATTAGAGAATACCTTAAGAGGATTTTGAGAGAAGATTGCTACAAATGAGAGAAATCGGATAGCTCGAGTTTATATAAGGAATTTGTTTCCTCATAAGGTCCTCGTAATTTTACGAGGAAATAGCAGAGTCCCGAGTTTTCCATTTCGAGGACTTTACAAGGAAACAGCGAGTCCCGCGTTTAGGTTTCCTCGTAAACTCCTAGTAACATGCTTACGTGGACTTT